GCGTCTCAGAATAGGTGGTCTCATACGCAGAATCCAGCGTTTTAGTACCTCCTTTTGGTCTGCACCAGGTCCTACAAAGCATGTCAAGATAGACGACGAAGAACGCGGTGAAGACTCCTATGATTTACCCACTCGACTACACCAACAATCATCTTTCCACATGATAAAAATGATTCTCCTAATCCTCCTCGCTCTTCTTTTCACAGTCCTCTTATTAGGATACACCATTTACAAACCCCCTCAATTCGTCATCAAATACCTCCAATGGAAGTATCCTGACGTTCTATTCCAAATCCCTCTCTCAAAAGCCCACCGCGTCATCGCCTTAACAATCGACGATGCACCTTCGGGAGAAACATCTCGAATCTTAGATTTACTCAAAATCTACGACGCCAAAGCCACTTTTTTCATCATCGGCAGCCAAGTTTCCTCACACCCCTCCTTAATCCAACGCATCCACGCCGAAGGTCACGAGTTGGGAAACCACGCCTGGGCAGACGAGCCATCCATCTCTCTCCCCATCTCCGAGCTCGAGCGTCAAATCAAAGAAGTTGAGGATCTTCTCCCGCCCAATCGTCCAATCTCCGGTTCCAAAATCCCGCCCAAGTATTTTCGTCCCGGGTCCGGATTCTTCAATGTGCAGATGTTGGAGAGGGCAAAACAGTGGGGGTATCGTGTTGCGTTGGGGAGTATCTATCCTCACGATCCGCAAATCCATAGTGCGAGGATAAACGCGAAGCATGTTTTGAGTATGGCGAGACCGGGTGGTATCATCATCATGCACGATAGACGATCGTATTCGGCGGCGGAGATTGAGTTGGTTCTTGGAGGGTTGAAGAAGAGGAAGTATAGGATTGAATCTCTAGGAGGTTTGCTGGGAGTCGCGGGGATGAATCAGGTGATATAATGCCGAGATGCCATTAATGTATGTTTTCTTGGGTTCGTCGTCGTCATGCTCTCATAGTGTATGTGTACCATACACCACCCATAATACAGACCAAAAGAGGAAGTTCCATGAAAACGAACAAGCACACTTGGAGCAACGCAAATTGGAACTTGCAAAGGAGCAATTTCTTGGTGAGGACGCAGACGATGGCGATAAATCGCAAAGTCTATGCAATTCCTCACTCAGCTCTAACCATACACACCTCTTCCTCTCACCAATACGACCACCAACACGAATGTATTGCAGAGAGGCGTGCAGAGAAAGAGAAGTAACCAAAAAGACCCCCCAGGTCCACATCAATCCATCCAAGCAACAGTGAGGAATTTTTTTTTAAGAAACATAGAATCAACAACACACGAATAAATCCCCATCAAAACGTATCTAGCTGAAGAAACACCATTACTCCCATCGTTCCAAATTCATCTGATCCACAGATATTCATTCATCTCGTCCTTGTAAAAGTAAAAATCACAAATCATATTTCGTGCATATAAAATTATAAACAGAATCATAAATCATTCACTCTAATTCCAAAATTATAATCCTCCCCCTATCTTTCTTATATCAGGAAATAGTATAGAGAAACTCTGCTCTTGTATCTATCGATGTTTCAAACATTCTCCATTGCCGATTATTGCTAGAAGTCGAGATGTATCGCCATAAGAGAACAAAGGAGAAGGAAAGAAAGGGAAAAGAAGAATGAAGAGATGAAGAGATGCAAAATGATAGGAAAGAATTATGAAATAGCTACATGTACCGATGATGCAGCACCAAAGCAAAGAGATAGGGAGCAAAGGAAGTGTAATAGAGAAGTTAGAGTATAGATATCCAGCAGCTCAATCAATATACATATACAGACCATCCATCGTCTCACCTAAAGAAAACACAAGGTCGTTTACAAACACACACACACACACACACACACACAGAGAGAGAGAGAGAGACAGAAATAATATAGTATCTCTTGAATACGCAAGATTCTCATTCATCGCCAACCTCACGACAATAACAACAACTACCAAATCCTTTCATCACTCAACACCACTACATGATACACGACAGATATAACGAACCACCATCGCATTCATCACTACTCTGCCACTTTCGACTCCCCATCCACCGCATCACCTCCTCAAAATTTAAGCATTATTTCCATTCTAATAACGGCCCATACCATAATGCAACATCTCCTACAACCCCCTTCCCCAAGAGATTTTCTTTGCACGGCAGGGTACACTTTCCGCCTCCACCCGAACATCCAAAGAAAAGAGATAATAACTCCGATCATGCAAGATCAAGATCTAGTACAGTACAATGTCATACAAGACATAAGTATTCGCCAACAAGAAAAAAGCAGTAGTAGTAGTTACTAGTATTGTTATCCAAGAAAATCAAAAAAAGTTGGACGAAAAGTCGAGTAAGGAGAACATGAGAGGGAATTTTGTGGAAATAAGTCCAGAAAAATGTGGTGAAAAGGAAAAAACGCCAGACGCGGTCGGAGTTGTCGGATTTTTTTTAACAACAATGACCCATTTCCACGCCGTGCAAGGGAGAACCCCCAGCATATGCAACAATACGGGATATATTGTAAGCAAGGACATGAAATTGCAGCAGCGCTAATGTCAACGAAGAAAATACAAGAACATATACTGAGAGTTTGGAATGCGAGATTACAGTACAAAAAAAGAGGGTATCATATTCGAGTTTTGGTACCAAGGTTTAACCAGCTCATATCCGAAGGGATTGAGGGTTGGTTTTGTCGTTGTGTGGGTGGTGGCGGTTGAGGTGTTTGGAGCGCGAAATTGTTCCCCCCAACTGTATCTCTGTTGGTGGTGTATACGCTAACAGTGTATGCATTACTTGGCCTGTTTTGAGACCAGCCTTGATTACCCATTGCCCATGCGTCCGGGTCATTTACACTTTCTGGAACTCCACTCGAGTATGCATCGGATCTTCCATCATAAGATGAAGCATTGCTTGCATAAGAGTCAGGTCGGGGCCCTTCAATCGTGCCAGACATCTCTGCTACTACTGGGAAATGAGACCCGGCGGTAGATACAGTAGGACTATTGGTAGCCACCCGATATAATGGAGTATCTCCTGGAATTGGAATTTTCAATGGAGGGACCAAAGCGGATGTTGTGGTAATCTGACTTGGAAGTCTGGAAGCATTATGCTGTGTAGGCGGCCGTGGATCCGAGTATCCTGAAGCGGCGTCATCGTCACCATTAGAGAGATTTTGTTTTGATTCTCCAAACCCCAAGAAACTCGTCATTGCACTTCCCCCGGACCAATATCGATTCCACCCCGATGATCTTCTTGTACTGCCTCGTCTCTGCGCTCCAGGATTCCTAGGCCGTGGTGTAGCCGTATCTTCACCGAATGAAACTTCTTTTGCCAATGCATCTTGAGCGTAGGTCCGATCAGGTGATGTAGGATCATTTATTGAAGTTTTGTAGTTCTTGTTGAAATGACTGCTGCTGCCACTTCCCGCACTCCCGTTACCTTTGTCGTCCTCTCCTCTTCGATGTCCTATACGACCCATCAAGATGGCCATGGATGAAAATGAACCCTGAGATGCCGATTGTCCATGTCGCGGGGGATGCATTGATGAGTGCATATTTGCCGGACCTCTGTCCGAAAATTCCAACCCATCTTTCTCGAGAGGATACCCATTTGCATCTGCATTTTTGAGATCCCTCTTCTTCCGTCGCCATCTGAAAAGAATCAACACACCAATGAGTAGTAGAGCGGCCCCAATAATAGACCCAAGTACTGCACCCAATACCTTCACTGGAAACTTGTCGGCAACCTTATCGGTCGATTCAGCGGCGGCTGCAGTCGTGTTACCAGTGCTCGTAGGTATCGAAGAACTTGTAATCGAAGGGGACGATGATGGTACAATAAATTGTTGTGTGGTAGACTTCACCAACATTGATGTTGCATTAACCCAAGAATTTGTTCCTGCTCCAAATATGCACAGAACATCATCCTCATTTCCACCCGATATTACTACTTGCCCAGCTGCGCCCATCGCGACCGAATATGATGTCCTCGTGGATGTTGGAGCCAGTGTACCATTGTAAGCTGGCCAGTCAGCTTCCGTAAGACTACTTCTTTTTACTTCTTGTGTAGCTCTTTTTGTAGAGGTATCTGTTGACACAATAGCCACCGCGCTTTTCACGGGACTTCCAGAACCGTCAACCAGAACGGTCCTATTCACAGTGTTTGGCGTCACTGTCATGTCAAAAGTATAAAGGTTCTTGCTTCCGTCATCGCCCGTCATCATAACTGCTTTGACTGCTGAAGTGTTATATATCGGAGTGGCCAAGCTGCTGTTTGTGTTAGCCCAGGCCGTTGCTGGATTGAATTCCATCACGGCAGTATTCGTGTCAGTACCGCCAATGTATATTGCCGAGTCCGATGACCATGGAAGCAATAGAGGCTGCACAGCGGGTACAGGTGGTGTGATAGAAGCCCCATATGACAGAACGTTATATGGAGGCGACGCGGCTATTGTAAAGGTTTGAGATGATGGGTCTTTACTACCATCTTGACTTCCTGCATACATTAGAATGGAGTCCGATGCATTCAAGTATACAGCACCGTGCCATAGTCGATTTTGAGCGACTAGCACTGTAGTAGTTAAGGTGTCCCATGTTCCATCATTAAAATTATATCGCTGAAGACCCGTATACAGGCTTGTAGCATTCTTGCTCGTTCCACCGACAATATACAATGCATCCTGTCCGTTAGCAGGTGTTGCCTTTACACAAACTCCTCCCGATACGGATTCTCCTTGGGGTAATTGCGTCCAATTCGCTCCTTGAACTAACGATAGCGATTGAAACGCTTCACTGTTGTATGCGTATAATGTATTGTTATATAGTATCGAACAGGAATCATCCAGAGAATATTTTGGTTTTGGTAGAGCCATTATTATCTTGCTCAATCGTGGTCGTGTTCATTCGTTATTCAGGTCGTCGGGTAGGCCGATCGACGCTACGAATGGTAAAAGGTTCGTCCTCGTTTCCGTTATGTATCTTAGCACATTATGAGCCAAGTAAGAGAAATATAGAAGATGTCTATCAATTGATAATTTGAAAGGATGCTGTCAAAGCGACGAAACCAATTGTCGGAGGTCAGGTCTCGGTGGGTGTTGGATTTCGAACGGGGTCGTCAACGACGGGTATGTCTTCCAGCAAGCTACAATGCTTTAACAAGAGGCGTCGAAAGCCCGTAAGAAGTCACCGTCAAGATGTCCAATCAAGTCGAATGTGTAATGAAGATTCAGTTCGTCCCGATTTCGAAGTGTAAGGCGTTTGGCAATAGATCCTTTAAGTGCGGGCAAGCTGAAACAACTAAGTATAGGTAAAGGTCCCAAGATTGCCACGTTATTTTCTCAGATCACAAAACGAAGGCGACTCTTGAGATGGTGAATGGCGCCTCAAATGGAAAAGAAACTGCAAAGAGTGCACAGCAATCGAAACGTGAATGGTACAAACAAGTATGCCAGTATGACAACTGATGAGATCGGTATGGTATTTGGCACCCACGGTATAATAGGAGTTGACCGGCTGTCGAACAATCACGTCCGCTTCCTGGGGCAGGCCACGAATGGTACGAGCGAGGACCCGCCCTGTTTTGATCTACAATAGTATAAAAGCCGAGGATGTTCTGTTTCTGAAGCGCTCAATGCGATTTGTGTAAGTATGCTTTATATGTCTGGTTTCGAATGTATTATCACAGATAGATACTAAATTGCAAGAATATCAAAATTTCCTTCGATGATCCAGTAGATGAAAGGTATTCCTAGAATTCAAAGAAGAACAATCAATGATTCCAAACCCGGGATGGAATGAAATTGTGGAAGTCTCAGGCTTTGGTGGGCTTAATGGACTTGACTGGCAAGGAGTTGAAGGGATCCTTGAATGGATGAAAGGTTCTTCAATTTCGTTTTCGAACCGAACGACGGGGATTCTGGGTTGGCAATGGGTATGGGTATGGATGGTATGGATGGTATGTCTGGGACCTATAGATGGATTGCTGTATGCGACGCACGCGATATTCATATGTATGTAATATGTATGGATTTCAATACCTGAGTGGAGAACGGAGAAGCTTTCTGGTATGAATCCGTATGATGTGTGGTAGAAAGTGGAACTTTGTATGTTTTTTGGTTCGTCATAGGTCGTTGTCGTTATCCATCAATTGCTCTATATGGGTTCATAAGATTCGTGGTCGGTTCCTGAAATTGGGGGAAGGAAGATTAATCAACATATAGATGCTAGGTAGGCGTGCAATGAGTGAAAGATATCCCAAGATTGGTAAAAGGTTTTTGGTAGAGCACCACAATGATAGAGGGATAGAAAAAACGATGAAAAGTACTGGACACAATCGCCAAGCAAGCAGGCAGACAGTGGACGAGCTGGCAAGGTTGGGGTGTAAGAAGGGAAGGATCGATAAAGATGCGTATGATACGATCTTTTTTGCTTCTTGGTGAGACGAGATGGTATAGTTAACGTAATAGGCAGATTGATGAATTGGTGAACATTAGCACGGAGTATAGATCTATGATTAATTTCATGTTGCGGTTAGATCTTTTCTCCCTCTCTTCTTTTACTCTTTTACTCTTTTGCTCTCTCTCTATCTCTCTTCCAATGATCTCCAGAGTATGTTCTTGATCGTCCCTCTTACTTTTCCCTTTTCCCTTTTTCCTCTACCCTCTACCCTCTACCCTCTACCCTCTACCCTCTACCCTCACTCTTCCTTCTTCTTCTTCCCCTCCCAACCAAATACAGATGGAACCTCTGCAGTCATACCCCTGTTTTTAGCATTTCCGTACCTGCTTTAATCAGATTGGGCAGTAGCAAATCTCTTGACTACTCTGTGATCAGTTTAGTTCCATGCAACTAATTCAAATAAGGGGCTATTTTGGTTTGAGACCTCCCACCCTGCATAAACATTTTTGAGCATTCGAAATCCACTCTCCATTTCTCTTAGCGTGCCAAGTATCCAAGGGTGTTTCGTGCTGTCCGATATCCAATTCTTTCCCCCCCTAGCCTCCCCCAAACTGCGAAGTACTTCCATGTGTTCACTGCTCACTTATTAGATTTTAGGATTTAGAATTGAGAATTGAGAATCATTTTACCAAAACTTTGGATACTTTTTAGACAACTTCTTCTTACTCAACCAGCCTAGCTAGCTCAGCCTGTAATGATTTAATCTAAGCCATAATGTATTTATATGCATCTAGGTAGCATCGTCATTTCTATCTTCGCATTGACTTCATTACTTTATCCAAACATTTGTTCTCGTACTCTGATATTAGACATCCCGGGTATGATTATCCATCGACAAGCAATCAATAAATTAAAACGTCCGTCCCCCGGGATCCAACAAGAATATTCTCATGGATAAACTTCTTCTTTTCTGATCCGATGTTGGAGAAATCATTTTCTCTCTGTGTATGCAGATGGGAATGAAGAAAGTTATGATCGGAGCTTACGACTTTTCGAGTCATACGTGCGATACGCAATTGATCCAACGAGGTAGAAGACAAATTTGACTGAGCCAGCCTTCATCGCCTTTATTGGACACTGTAATCACAGTACCAAGATGCTACGGCTTCATTGATCCAAATTGTCATACCATCCCATCCATTGATTGGCCGAGCGACGAAGAAGGCGAGTAAATATTTGGGGTACATTATTATCACATTGATTTCTTGGTCCCATATCAGAAGTTCCAAGCACATTTCATCTTCTTTTCATTGGCTAGTTCATCCACTTTTTGCCTGCAGCAATACCCTCAGACTGAAGGACGGGAATGATTTGTTTCAACAATATGTCAGTTTGTCGAATCGTCGACCGACAACAAGGGTGTATGATATGTATATGTACTTCAAAAACTGATCACACCGGTTTGAACGGAGAGTAAATTAATAGATATCTGGGACAAACCTACTCAGTTTTCTGATGTTGTAGAAATCACGGAAGTGGCTGTCTAGGGACTGACTGTACTGTGAAAACTAATTGGTTGGGGTTAGAACGCTCCATGCACAAGCATTCTTTTGGGGGAGTTTATCCCCAAATACGAGTCGACTCAGTTGAGGGGTTCGCTGCGAATAATATTGATGCAGATTCTTTGCACCGCACTCTTTTGAGTTGTTACACAGGAAGTGTCCTGGTTTGCAGTTCAATCTTCCCCTTCATCTTTCGCTAAATTACTTTCAGTTTAAACGAAACTCAAGTACTGTAGGAGTGATGTCAAAATGATAAAAAGGAAAACAAAGCTAAATATTTCAACGTGGTGGCCAAGGTCAAATATTGATATCTCTAACAATAGACTTCATTCATGTAAGCGCTTTCATTACAACTTTATTTGTTATAAACCCCATCAATAAGATGTGAAGGTATTGAATTCTTATCTTTCTCTGGAAGCGCGCGGCCAGGCCAGTAAGAGATGTTGAAGACAAAGACCAACGTGTAATTGGGTCTAAGCTTTCGCGATGTGCCGAAACGACTTATCGAAAGTGCCGGTAGTTCATGATTCATTCGTTGAGAATACATCATTTTTCTGATCATAGTATTGAAGATCTATTCTAGTGATCTGCCTTCATGCAGCTCGCCCATACGGAAACATCACACTCATCACGTGGATTAGTGATCTCATGTCTTGAAATTGGGGTTATCGTTGCAAGCTTGCACCATGTTGTTTCCCACGAATGGTGGCCAGTAGTGTGGCCCTATTTGCACTTTCATAGTAACGTGCCAACCTTATTCTGAATTTCGATAGTCTCGGCGGCACGCTGTTCATGCACTTCTTTCTACAAGTGCAGGCGAAGTGTGATTTCTTGTGGTCATGCTAATCTTAATGCCGGTGTTGTGACACCATCGAAGCCGTTAGATCATAATCTCGTTAGACACAATCGCTGTTAAAAATTAAACAATTATATTTTCATCATAGCCTTGTTACTCGACTGACGGAATCTTTTTCCGAACGTTATACTTCAATGGACTTTTGTAGCCTAAGTACGAGTCAAGGCCATCGTATCATGGACCTTTGAGTCCTTGTTGAAGGACCTTGAGGTCTGCGGGTTACGAAGAGAATTGAGATCGAGATTAAACACACTCGATGTTTATCTTTGTGTAAGGTCTATATTTGACCGACACGTGCAACCTAGTCAGGAAGGTAAAGAAGATTCAAAACCTCAGGCTTGATGTACCTACAGTCTAAGCTCTACGACATAACTAGATCGACCTAGCGAACGTTACTACATAATGAGACCTACCAGTATTCAATCGTTCTCCAGCTAATCATACACTGCTACCATTGGACAAGAAGCGAATTCAACCTTTTCCTCTTCATTTGGTGAACCACAATGACGTTTACTTATTGAACAGGTAATTTTACATTTTTAAGTTTCTTCAAAGTATCTTTGAGGTAGAGTTACAATTCCGGATCAATGTCTATCTTATGCCATGTCAATTGACCGGAGTGATTGATGTGATGACGTTTATTTGGACCGACTATCATGTAGTATCATGCGGTGGGCGTAATATTTTTTCTATGAGGCTACGTAGGTACCAGTCTTTTGATCGGTGGCTACCACGGAGGAAGTTAGTTGCAGTGAAGGAAAGATAGTCTGCCTTAAAACCGATTGATCAAATTAAAATAGATATGACTTATTCCAGACAACAATAAACAAGCAACAAACATCAGATACTGAGGTAAACGTGATCTAGATGCTGTATAGAAATATTCAAGTATTAAGATTTCAGGATGTGAAATCCAATTACAAATCCATAACTCCCACTATTCAACTCACAGCGCTCACCAAGGACCACATATGCATAGATAACATATAATAATATCTCTCTCATTGAATAAATGCCTATATCACCCACTAAAACTGAACTATGGAAAAAAGAGTCAAGAAAAGGTAAATGAATAAAAGGAAATAGGGTATGTGCCATATATGCATGAAACAAACTCAAATAAACCACACATCCCACTCCACACATATATCCAACATCCCTCTCTGTCCATCCCGTACCTGTACAAAGAGAACCTTATGCAATAAATAGAGAATTTTGTACCGCTAAGTGACGCAAGGAAATCGTTATCTTGTATATGATACTAATGATATGCCCTCTCTCTCTCTCTTTCGTCCATCGGCTCGCTAGCAAGCCGATTAGTCGCTGAGATGAGATGGGATGCTATTGTGCTTCACTTCTGTGTGAAGACACCTGTCATACCCTCTTTTCTTCTTTTCTTCCTTCCTCTGTAGAGATGGAACAAGGATCTAATAAGCCATTCCCCTGTAAGCTCCCCCGGAATTTCCACCTCCTATATTCATATTCGGTACGGTAGGCTGACGACTTTGATGCCCAGTTCCAGCCACTGGCGCGGCGCCATCCACAAGATTTTCTTGGCTGCGAGAATATGGGTTCGCGGGCTCGTTCATGAAACTTGAGGGTTCATGCGTCTCGTGAGTGGAGTGTAGATATGGGTGTTTTGAATCGGCCTCATAGGAGTGAATGCTAGATTTAGAGTCCATGAGGAGAGAGTTGCGAGCATCGAGAGGAGTGAGGTTATCAAGGTCGCGATTGAGTTTTTCTTGAAAGAGGTTAGTTTTGAGAAAATTAGATGGCAGAGAAAAGACTTACCAGCTTCCTTACGACGCTTTCGATGGGGGTTTTGTTTGA